GGAGTCAGGGCACTGCCGCACACAGGGCTCGTTGCATGTGTCAGCCAGAGGGGCTGGGGCCGCCACCCCACATGAAGGGACGCACAGGTTGGAGCAGGACATCCTTTGGCTCAGGTGATGATGCTGCAAGAAAAGGCAGAGCTCCGGCTCAGTGCACGGCCTGATCCCAAATCCCTCTTGGCTCTCTTGCACTCTGAACCTGCCTCCCAGTACATGCTCTGGATCATCTCAGCCTGTCCAAGCAAAAACACTTTCCAGAGCTGAATTGTTGGTATAGACCCTTTGCTCTCCCTCATGCTCCCTGGGCCTGACTTGCACGTGGGAGAGAGGAAAACTCCCTCATCCAAAGCAGGTGGCAAATCACCAAGCTCCCAAAGGACCCGAGTCCAGTGGGGTACTCGGCATGTTGTACCCAAAAGTTTAAATTTCCATGCTTTCCGTAGCTCTCAGACAGCACCATCACATCCTATCTATGTAGTGTGAAAGAGTGGTGGAGCACACCGCAAAAGATACCGTGAGAAAGCCATTGCTGAGGAAGGAAAGAGGCAGGTAAGACTTGGACTTACCACAATGATCAGGAGAGTCAAGTGGAGGAAGCTGGATAGAGGTCTGTGAAGCCCTCAGCTCTTTTATACATGTCCCAGACTGCCCGGGGCATAGGCCAAGGGGTTGGTGGCAGAAGCCCCAGCTAATAATGATATCAATCAGACAAGCCTCATGAAACAAATTGTGATGCACAGCAATTACGTTCATCCTAATTGGGTATACTTCCAAGCAAACTTACCCTTGAGAGCAAAGAGTCAATGGGAGGAACAGACCATGACATGCCTTTACATGAAAGACAAAGCGCTGCTGTAGCTGACCGCACAGCACCAATAAACCCCGATCTGTCCCTAATCCTCCCACTTTGCTTACGTGCAAGAGTCCTGGGCATCTTGCAGAAGTACTTTGCAATCCTGCGCACAGCCACTACGCCTGTCATTACGCCTCTTTTACAGGCTGGTAAACAGAGTCACCGGGAGGCTGGGGAAAGGAAGAAGCTATTCCACCCACTCTGGGAAACTCCCAAATGCCAGCCATGGCCCCTTGCTGGTAAGGTCTGGAGAGATTACAGTACCGGGTGCAAGGGGCGTCCCTAAGCTGTGGACTTTTTCCTGGCACTGCATGACTTGTTTATTTAGTTATGCAAAGAGCAGAGGAGGTGGGTCCCACGTGGGATGAAACTCCACTCATGTACAGTGCTGGCACAGGTGTGGGTGCGAGGGCAGTCAGATTAGGCACTGGGGAACTGTGTTAGCAGACACAGCAGGAAGGCAGGAGCAATCAACACTCTGTCAGCTGCTTCATCTACGTGTCTGTGAGCGTGGTCCTTCCTGAGCCCTCTCTGAAGGGGCTCCATTACTCAGCTGGTCATGGAGGGCTGTGTGATCAAAGGTTGGTTTAGCATCCACAATGAGCCCGGCTGCACGTGGCCACGCTTCCCACAGGCACAGGCACACTGGTCAAGGCTGGCTATGGCTGTGCTGCGGCTGGGTGTGGACAGTTTGGGCACAGTAATCTTCTGCAAGATGCCCAGGACATTGGAACAAAGTTAAAGTAGGGGATTGGGGACAGATGAGGGTTTATTGGTGCCGCACATGAGTGCCTGATCTTTCATGTAATGATGTGTCACGGTCTGTCCCTCCCATCATCTCTTTGTTTTCCAGGGCATGTTTGAAATCCAATGTGTCCCCGGTGAGGAGGCTTATAATTGTCTCGCATCGCTATCTCTGTCATGAAGTTTGTCCACTGGATCTCATAACTACCTGGGGTTTCTGTCACCGCCCCCTTGGCCGATGCCCCGGGCAGTCTGGGACATGTATAAAAGAGCTGAGGGCTTCACAGACCTCTATCCAGCTTCCTCCACTTGACTCTCCTGATCATTGTGGTAAGTCCAAGTCTTACCTGCCTCTTTCCTTCCTCAGCAATGGCTTTCTCACGGTATCTTTTGCGGTGTGCTCCACCACTCTTTCACACTACATAGATAGGATGTGATGGTGCTGTCTGAGAGCTACGGAAAGCATGGAAATTTAAACTTTTGGGTACAACATGCCGAGTACCCCACTGGACTCGGGTCCTTTGGGAGCTTGGTGATTTGCCACCTGCTTTGGATGAGGGAGTTTTCCTCTCTCCCACGTGCAAGTCAGGCCCAGGGAGCATGAGGGAGAGCAAAGGGTCTATACCAACAATTCAGCTCTGGAAAGTGTTTTTGCTTGGACAGGCTGAGATGATCCAGAGCATGTACTGGGAGGCAGGTTCAGAGTGCAAGAGAGCCAAGAGGGATTTGGGATCAGGCCGTGCACTGAGCTGGAGCTCTGTCTTTTCTTGCAGCATCATCGCCTGAGCCAAAGGATGTCCTGCTCCAGCCTGTGCGTCCCTTCATGTGGGGTGGCCGCCCCAGCCCCTCTGGCTGACACATGCAACGAGCCCTGCGTGCGGCAGTGCCCTGACTCCACGGTGGTGATCCAGCCGCCACCCTCGGTGGTCACTTTCCCCGGGCCCATCCTCAGCTCCTTCCCGCAGCACAGCGTTGTTGGGTCAGCGGGAGCCCCCGGCGTTGGAGGGGGCTACGGTGGCACTTTTGGAGGCCGTGGTGGTTTTGGTGGTTCAGGGGGCTATGGGGGGTATGGAGGCCTTGGGGGCTATGGTCTCTATGGAGGCTATGGAGGCTACGGTCTTTATGGTGGCTACGGAGGCTACGGGAGCTGCGGATATGGTGGCTGGGCCCGAGGCCACCGCTACCTGAATGGCAACTGCGGGCCCTGCTAAACCCCACACTGGGTCTGGCCACAGATGAAGGAGAGCTGCAGAAAACCCCAGCCACATCCTGACATGACGTCCTGTGGAAGCA